AGGAATGGAGAGGCTTCAGTGAGAAAGGAATGGGAGAAAGCCCTAGAAAGACGACGGACGCCCTTTATGATTCACGGAATACCCCAAACAGTTTTTTCAGAGCTCTTCAGATTACATTTAAGTGTGTACATTAAGTGTGCATCCTTAATGTACACAAAAGTAAAGCTGACGTCATCCACTGTGCCACCAATACTGTGCCCAGCTCTTTGCTGTTAACCAAAGAGGACAGAATGTAATGTTTTTTTTTTGTTTCAGTGTTTGGTAATGCTTTGCAATTAGCTTTGCAAATGCTAGTTTAGCGCCCTTCTTAAAATTAGAGCCACAGCCCTAGTCTAATTTTTAAGTTTTGGTAGCAGTAATGTTGCTAACAGGACAGTAACTGAGAGGTGGAGCACTAACAAGCTGCTTAGTGCCTAAGACCCTGGGCTTGATCAGCCATTAAATAAACCTTGAAGTTAATGTGCTAATTCATCACCGAGGTAGACTTTTGTTTGGTTGTTTTTGAGACAAGGCTTCTCTGTGTAGTCCTGGCTATCCTGGAACTTGCTAGTGCTGAGATTAGAGGTGTGAGCCACCACATTCAGCTCTGTGTTAGACTTTTAAATCGCTAATGTCAGTTCCCCCCACCCCCCGATTTTATTTCCAGAAGTTGGGATATCCAAAGAGGAAGCTTTAGAAACTCTACAGATCATAAGAAGAGAATGTCTCGCAGATAAACCAAGATGTGCTGGTACTTCCGTGACAGTCAAGAAGTGCACAGCCCTGGAACTTCTTGAACAGGAACACACCCAGGGCTTCATAATCACCTTCTGTTCAGCCCTAGATAACATTCTCGGGGGTGGAATACCCCTAACGAAAATGACAGAAGTTTGTGGTGTACCAGGTGTTGGGAAAACACAATTATGGTAAAATAAGAACGTTCTCTTCTTAAGTATGGACTTAGTGTTTTATGTAACTAATAGAGTATTATGCTGTGTTGTCAGAATACCAAAAAGTGTGTGTTAATACTTCCTGCAACAAACCATCAGCTTACCGTTCATATTATCTCAGGCACCATCTTAGTGAAAGGATAGAGCAGCTTCGATGTCAGAAATGTTTCTTTGATAATACAATATAATCACTACAGTAAGCAGATTCTCTCCTAATAGTTGGCTTCTGAGATGTATTTGTCAGATGTTTTAAAGTTGATATATATATGATAAAGAATCCTGAACCAGGCTTGGTAACATACTCCTATAATTTCATCACTCAGGATACTGAAGCAGGATTGCTATGAGTTGGAGGACAGTCTGGACTATATAATAATTGTTAGACCAGCCAGGGATATATAGTAAGACCTGGTGTCAACAACAACAAAAAAAGTATGTTGAGCTGGAGAGATGGTTCAGTGGTTAAGAGCATTGACTGCTCTTCCAGAGGTCTTGAGTTCAATTTCCCAGCAACCACATGGTGGCTCACAAACCTGCAGACAGAACACACACACACACACACACACACACACACACACACACACACATATATATCTCAAATAAATCTTTTTTTTATTTGTTTTTCAAGACAAGGTTTATCTGTGTAGCCTTGACTGTCCTGGACTAGGCTGGCCTCAAACTTACAGAGATCTGCCTGTCTCTGCCTCCCAAGTGCTGGAACTAAAGGCATACACCACCACCACCTGGCTCAAATAAATAAATCTTTAAAAAAAGTATGTCTACCTCGGTGTAGTGACACACTCCTGTAAATATAGCAGTAAAGCTGGAGATTGAGAGTTGAAGGTTCAGCCTGGGCCACATTTCCAGACCCTAACTCAGAAAAAGGGAGAAAATATAAACCAATTCCTAGAAACCTAAAAACCACAAAGAGTTATTTAATCGTAATTTTGTGTAATACCTGCACTGCACTATAATCTAGGCATCTATGGATTCATATGTAGTTGGAGCTATGGAGAGTTAGCCATCTCTGTTGCCTTGGGGTATTACTTTTGTATTTAGAAAACTTGATGGTTTAGCTGATGATTAGACACAGTTTACAAAAGACATTTTGATAGTTATGATAATGATTTGGTCATTTCTTGACAGTATGCAATTGGCAGTGGATGTGCAGATTCCAGAATGTTTTGGAGGAGTGGCTGGTGAGGCAGTATTTATTGACACAGAGGGAAGTTTTATGGTTGATAGAGTGGCAACCCTTGCAACTGCCTGCATTCAACACCTTCGCCTTATAGCAGGAGCACACACGGACAAAGGTGAGTTAGCACAAAGTGCTCCTTCTGTACGAGAAAGACAGTTTGTATTTGTGCCATTTCAGACTTCAGTAAGAGGTTGTCCCAAACTTGAAGCTTCTGCCTGTTAACAGTACTCTCCCTGAAGCCTAGCTGTCTGTGATCATTCTGCCTCAGTCTCCAGAATGCTGGAATGGCAGTCCCGTGTCGTACCCAACTTAGCAGCCATTGCTTTTTTAAATTTAATTAATTTTTTTTAATGGTTTTTCAAGTCAGGGTTTCTCTGTGTAACAGTCTTGGCTGTCCTGTAACTCACTTTATAGACCAGGTTGGCTTCAAACTCCCAGAGGTCTGCCCGCCAAACCTCCCAGGTGCTGGGATTAAAGGCGCTCAGCACCACACCCAGCACAGCTGACGTCCTTCACCACTGAGTCACCTATCCAGCACAACAGACTTACTTTTATAAGTAATTGAGAAGGTAAGCACTTGGCCAATGCAAAGGCTCAGCAGCTAAAGGTGCTTGTCACCAAGCTTGATGATGTGAATTTGACCTCTAGAACTGCTATAACAGAAGAAGAGAACTGAAAATTGTCCCCTGAAGTCCACAGATGCACTGTGGCGTTTGCATAAACAGGCACACACAGTTCATTACAAACAAAAACAGATTCTTTTTTTTTTTTTTT